CTATAGGCCTACAGGGTTCCGTATAAGCCCTATAGGGAACCCTATAGGTCCTTTAGGTCCTATAGGGAACCCTATAGGCCCTATAGGGAACCCTATAGGTCCTATAGAGAATCCTATCGGTCCTATAGCGAGCCCTACAGGTCCTATAGGGAACCCTATGGGTTTTATAGGGAACCCTACGGGTCCTATACAGAACCCTTTGGGTCCTATAGGGAACCTTTAGGCCTTATGGGGAACACTTTAGGTTCTATAGGGGGATCTATAGGTTTTATAGGGGACTCTATAGGTTCTATAGGGGACTCTATAGGTTCTATAGGGAACTCTATAGGTCCCAAACTGAACTCTATGGGGCATATAGAATCCTATAGGATTCCTTTAGGTTCCTATAGGATTCCTATAGGATTCCTATAGGATTCCTATAGGATTCCTATAGGATTCCTATATATTCCTTTAGGAATAGATAGGAATCCTATAAGACATTTTCGTAAGAGGAGGAACAGCCTATTCAGCAACGCTGACCAACTCGAGTGATTAGACCCCCACTACGGTACACAAAGGACTATGTGGCTGCTTATGGCCAAAAGGAGTTGATTAAGCCAGTTCAAAATGTGATACTTGTCTGGAAGCCTATGAAAGCCTTGTTTAAAATGCTTAGTTCCAGATGGTGATTCTGACGGATCCATATGCTCTTGTTTCTATTCTTCTAAAAATGCAATTTGAAAATCACAGTACAAATTAACATTTAGGTGAGTCATAAGTTTGCACCAACAGTAGCCTTAGTTTATTTTTGTAGGATTGATGGCGACCTGGAGGCGGTATGCCAATCAAGGCAACCGACAGTTGCCCTATACTCCCCTTGGGACTGTGGTCCCAAAAAGAAGGCCTCGTGGGCCTCAGTACAATGAACATCAGGCAATGCCCTCCCTTACTACCATCCTGATTACAGGGCATTCTTTTGTGTCCCGTGCATTCCACCACGTGGCCCGGATGTCTCACGAACTCCCGGGGATTTCGGAGAGAGCAAAGTTCCAGGGCTACCCTAGAGCAAATGCCCAGGGATTGCTGGCCCGTTTGAAGGAGATGGGGAAACCCATCCCGCCTTTTGTCATTCTCCACATTGGGGAGAATGACCTGGATTCTGTCCCTGGGGAGGGAGAGGTGGATAAGACCCCCACCCAAATTGTCGAGGAAGTCCTCGCAATTGCTTCTTATCTCCTGGAGAACGGGGCTCGTCGGCTGGTCCTTTTGAAGGCCCACCCACGCAAGCCCCCAGCTCCCAGGAATCCCTGTGTTATTCTTCGACCTGCCAGGGAAAGACGTTTGGACTTTGATACCAGACGTAGAGAATTCAACAGCATTCTGCACGGGAGTGTCTGGGAACCCCGATTCCAGGGGAGGCTTCTCCTTTGGGAGAAGACCGCGTTCTGCGGATACGGCCCAGAGACTGTGTTGGATGCAGTTGGGTTCCACCTGTCAGCTGCAAAGCTGACAGCATATTGAAAAATTTTGGATCAAATCGGCCGGTACCTTAAACGGAATTTTCGGGCTGAGGCCATTCCAGTCTAAAAAGTGACCCCTCTCCCCCCCCCCCCCCAAGGGTGGAGGATGGAGATTCCTGGCGGCCCATCCGAAGCCCAGAAGCAGAATTCAGTTTCCCTTACTTTTTTTAATTTCCTAAATATGATAATTCTATGATTTTTGGACTAATAGTAATTCTGTTTCAGATCTTCCTCTGGGTCTGGGGTGGAGGACAGAGATCCCTTGCGGCCTGCTGAAGCCCCACCCATGGAGATGATTCATCAGTTGAATGCCAGCAACCCCTCTGCTAAGCCACCAGTAGCTTACTCACTCTCTGATGTGACTTTGCTTAATTCTTTGGTAAACCCCATTGTAATAGTTTAACTTGACATGTAATGGTACAAAAGAAATCCTGATGTAGTGCAAAGAAAAGTAATAACTTAAATGTTGTATGAAGATTGGAAAGTAAATCTTAGCATTTAATTGTTAATTCTCACTCGCCTTGGCTTAGTAATTTAGTCCATAATGGTTAACTTACACCCTGAGTCATAAGAGACAGTGAAGTGTTGGATCATACCTAAACAATTGAGTATATGGCCTGCTTTGGATCTTGATGATGGACAGCGTGTGGAATGTGTAAAAGAGTGTAACCTCTGAAATGTCCTTTTTCCTTTTGGGATCAATCTAGAGTATGGGTGGAGGACAGAGATCCCTTGCGGCCTGCCAAAACCCTACTCTTTTCTCAGACCATGTTAATCGAGATGGAGATGGAAGATGATTTGTGTTTTGTATTGTCTTGGATCTCTCAGCCCGTCATGAGGTAAAAATATATTTGTCGTATCGTCCTGGATATTGACCTAGCCATGGTTTGCCATACAAGAGTGTTTTTTTTGTCCTGGATTAGGCAACCTGGCATTGGTTTACTTGGCTTTCATGTTGTGTCGTCCTGGATTATTGGACCTTCTAGTATTATGTTGGATCAAAGTCACCTTTGTTAGTGCTTCCTCTTGAATGTATTGGTCTGTCTTCGAGTCAGCCAATATTGTGTTTGTTGATTATTAAGAATTCATATTTTATTATTGCCAATTGTTTGAAAGTATTATTTATTCATTTATTTTATTTTACTTGCATTTAGTTCCCTTGTTTTCATTTGTTTGTCCCAGTCTGGATCTCGGGATGAGATCTTTGCAGAGAGGGGAGGAAATGTAAATCTTGTCTTTTTTTCCCGTCCTCCAAAAAGTCCTCCATAGTGCAAACTAAATGCCACATGAAACAATGAAGTCCATGTGTCTTGAATTCTGCTCCTCAAGCAATGGGTGATGTGGAAATGATGTAGACAATTGGATTCTACAGCTTTTCAGGAACTATGGTTGATAGTGATTGCCAATTGGGATCCCTACAGTCATCCTTTTTTTTCAGGGCTCCTTTGCTCCTCAAGCAATGGGTGATGTGGAAATGATGTAGACAATTGGATTCTACAGCTTTTCAGGAACTATGGTTGATAGTGATTGCCAATTGGGATCCCTACAGTCATCCTTTTTTTTCAGGGCTCCTTTCCCCATGCCCCACAAGGAGAGTGACCAATCGTATCAGATCACTGACATGCCCTTTCAGTACCAGGGACATAGGCAGGAAGTATTTAAGGGGGGAATGAAAAAAACTAAAAATGCCCTTTTTGAGACTTCAAGCCCACCCACCTCATAGTTATTCCCAAAATTACACTTTTTTCCCTGAAAATAGATATGGGCCAATGACTGACCTTGAATTAGTCATCATTTAGTGGGTGAAGAAAGCTACTGAATGCTTGCTACTGAAACTAAAAAACCTGGTGTAGTGTAAATCTTGTCATTTTTTTCCCGGACCCGCGGTCCCAGTCTGCAAGACTGTGGACGTTGCCATGTTAATTACTGGAATTGTTTGATTTTGAAACAGTTCATTTGTTAAGTTTCAAGTAATGAATTGTGTTTAATATTGCAACACACCCTATGTAAATTTAATGCAACCTTTAAACTTATGTTTTGAAATCGTGAAAGATCTGAAAGTTAAAATGGTGTAACAAGGTAATCGGGCAACCCAAGGGAGAAGAATCGAAAAAGCGGGGAAGAAGGTTTTCCGAGAGTGTGTTTTGGACCTGGTTCCAGGCAACAAGGCTTGGTCTTCGGTGTTTTCTTCTCATCGGCTGTGTGGCGTGACATCCTCTCCTGAGTCCTGCAGTCACCAGTTACAAGCACCTTTCTTCGGTCAGCCACAATAGACCTTTTATAAAAACCTTGAAACACAAGGGCGACCGGCCTATCCTCTCCGTGGCCCAACCTCTCCCAATTTTAATGTCTTTCACTTTTTGCTCTACCCTCCCGGGGTAAATAGCCCAGTTGCCTTATCGGCTGGACTCTCCCCCTAATCCTGTCAAGTTAGGGTTTGTGATCTATCTTTGTGATCTTTACACTTGGTGATCTTAAATTTTTATAACCTGTTTAGAGGAAGTAATTTTAATATATTCTCAAAGTATCTAATTTTTATACATCTTAAAAGAGTAAATTTAGAGTTATGGGCATTTTTATCTTTATTTATTTGAACTGTTTATGAAGGGCCTATGCTCCTTTAGTGAAGGGTTCTATAGGAACCCCAGGCCATGTACCTTCAGACACTCAACCTGCCGGATACTCCAGGGATCTGAGTCTATAACCTGTCAGCTCCCACCAGCGCTCCTACCATTACATTTTGGCTAAATTGGCACTACCTTTTGGCGAAGCTAGTGGGATTACACCACAGCAACCGCTACAGTAGCTCTGGAAGCAAAATGGGGGGGGAGGGGTGGCACTGTATCGGTCAAGAGTAATTATTCGGTTGTTGCTCTTGAAATGTCCGATTTTGATCTACAAGTGTGGATTGGACCTGTGTATTGTGGGTAACTGTCTTCTATTTATAATGTAATTTTTTTTCATTAATATTGAATGATGACTTGTGTGCTCCCTGACTATCCTCCACTCCTCCCTCATCCTCGACTCCCTCAAGCCCCCTCAGCCTTTTAAAATAGAGATTTTTGGTGTCAAAATAATGCTAAAAGATAAAACCCTAGTAGCACATAACATTGAATCAACATTGATTCAACGTTGAGTCAACATCCGGACGTTGAACCAACGTTGAATCAATGTTGATTCAGTGTTATTTGTTACTAGGGAAGGCTCAACATGTTTCACTTCTTCTGCCTCCTACTCAACATTGACCTATTATGCCTTCCCAGGAACCCCCTATTTTCATAGGTGACGTGAACGATCACAGTCCCTTTCTATCCTTCTGTGATGTGACGAACCCCCATGGAAGACTCGTCTCCTCCTTTCTGGACAACCGACTTTTCCCTTCTTTGCAGCCCTGACACAACTTACTGTTGCTACTCTTCTGCTGACTCTCCCTCATACAGACTCAACTTGACCCCAGTGAACTCATTCATCAGGAACTGTTCCATAGGGAAGGACCTGGGCTCAGACCACCTGCCCATCATTTTGACAGTTGACTTTCACCAACACCCCAGAATACCCCTGACTTTTGTAGGGCTGACTGGAACTGGTTTCATCTCTCCCTGACTCCCTCTCCATCTCTTCAGCTGATGATGTCTCCAAGGCAACCCAAGTCATCACTGAGGCTATCCAGATGGCCCAGAATGATGCCATCCCCATCCTGACTGCCAAAACCTCCAGATCCTACTCCATCTCCCAAACCACTCTTTCCTTAATTAAGGAAGTCAGTGCCACTAGGTGTAAGTGTCACTTAACTAAAGCTCCTTGTCTCAAGAAAGTTTTTAATAGCCTTAATCAGGAAATTTCTTCTCAGCTCAAACTACATTCTGATACTTATTGGGATAGATATAATTCCCTAGGTGATGAGACTGACCCTAAAAGCTTTTGGAAGTTATTCGAAAGGATAGATAGAACAGCAACTCCTCTAGGCCCCTCCACTATGAAAATATTACAACTACAACCTCCAAGAGAAAAGCTGATGTTTTTGTAGCCTCCCTGGGAGTCATCACCATGACCTCTTGTCTCCCCATTGATGCCTCAGAGTAAGAACAGGCATTATATCTAATTAGCTCCAACTCTCCCTTCAAAGTAGAGTACAATGAAACAGTTATGAGAACTTCATGGGGGGGCATGAAGTTCTCATAACTGTAGATGGAACAATCTAAACCATTCTTCCTCTACCTAATAAACCCCTGGCCCTGACAAGATCCATAATAAAGCCCTTAAGAAAGGAACCTTTACACTTGTTGAGCTCCTTGTTGAACTCTTGCTTAAATACATATATTTTTCTCCAGCATGGAAAGTAGCTTTAGTTGCAATGATCCAAATGTTGGACAAAATTTTAAGTAAACCATCATCCTACTGGCCGATTAGCCTACTTAGTGTCCTAGGCAAGACCTTAGAGAGAATAATTACTGTCAGGCTAGCATCTTTTCTAAAGTGTAAAGGCATCCTCCATGCAGCCAAGGCTGGCTTCCATCATGGCAAGTGTATAGATACTTCGGACCCCCTGCAAAAATGGAGCAAACAGTAACTTCCATGTACTTGCACTTTTCTTTGCTGTAGAGAAGACATTGATAGAGTTTGGCACAGGGGGCTACTTTACAAGCTCAGATTTAGCTATAACCTCCCCTTGACCTGGTTGCTTTTGCTGAATCCTACATTAGAGACTATACTCTTAAAGTAAGAGTAGAAGAAGCAACCTCTCAACCATTTTCAATCTCTGCAGGAGTCACCCAATGTTCAGGTCTTGCCCCCCCCCCTCGTCTTTCTCCTGTATGGAAATGATTCCCATGAGGGATTACCATCTCCCAATTTGCAGCTATCTGGATCTGAAGTAACTTGGGAGCAAGGCTTGGCAAAATTCCATCTCTAGCCCAGGAGGCCCTGGATTGCATCCATCACTATAGCAATAAATGGAGAATCTCAATGAATCTCACCAAGTCCACTGCTTTCGTTGAGCGCGCGTGTGTGGCTGCGCGTGTTTGGAGAAAGTTTCAAGGTTTGTTTACTTTCTTTGATCTGCCTGGATCTTTTTTGGCTAGGAGAAAGTCGGCAAGCCTGGGTCACTGGCGATCTGCGGCTGTTCATACTGCCGATTAGGAAAGGCGGTGGAGTGCACAATAGGGTTTACCAGGCAGTGGCCGTATTTCCTCGCTTTTTCGAGGGATGTGTCGTTATACGCTCTTAACATCAGCAATAGGTAACGAGCTAACCACTGAGAGACAGACAGACAGATATGATCTCTATTGTTTCTAGGAGGCCCCCTGACATGTATCACATTCCAAATAGGGGAGCAGCACCAGTTCGCGAACAGGGAGCCAGTTACCAAACGCGGGTTATGAAATGCGATTTGGCCTTTGGTTACTCTAGTTTCACTCTCTATCCCAAGCATTAATTAATCAATCAATCCATTTTCTGCAGTTACCAAAAGCTGGAGTATGTAACTCGAGAAACAAAAAACCAAATCCCATTTCATGACCCTCGTTCGCTAACTGGATCCCTGTTCGCGAACTGGTGCCGCTCCCCTAGTTCTATTTGAATTGGGATACAATTTCATGTGAATTCTCAGTTTTCAGACGATTATCGGCACCGCATCGGCACCGGGGGATGATTTTAATAAAATCTGCCATTGGCCAGACCACTCCGGCACTTTCTGTTCCATGTCAATATATTTACCTTGGGATTTAGCCTGTATTCCATGTTCTATGATCCATGTTTCAATTGAAATTATAGTCTCTGTTATCCTAGTAAAACCGACCTGTATGGCTACATCCTGGATGATGTAGGAACATCTTTCCAAATCACTTCGGGTGGAACATAAACTGAGTAAGGCGAATGTTCCTGTTGTAACCATACAACCCACAGGCTCTCAATGGTAATGAATATAACTATCATAACAGTCGAGTCTGCCAGAGGGGTGTGCCCCTGCGATATTTTGACTTCCTATAGCATCTTATATTGTTCTCCCCAAAGAAGAAAGCACTCGTGATAGAGGAATTTGGGACGAGACACTCACCCGTTCCTTGAAGTTTCCTACGTGAACGAGCCTGTTTGTGGTTTGTTCGTCGATAGGGAGGTCTTTGACTTCCTTCTCCTCTACCTTTTTCTCTTCCTGCATGGTGCGCCAAACGTCTTGATGGTCTGGTAAGAAGTCAATGATCCAGAGATCCGTTTTAGCTCTGGATAAACTCTCCAAAAGCCACGAATCCTCCACGTTAACAGTGATGGAAACATTGGATTCACATCCTCGAAAATCTTTTGGGTGAATGAAACGAAGCTCTCCAACATTTTTGCCTTTGCTATACTCATCCATGAATTCCATTAGATCCTTGTCTGTCATCAGAATGCGCACTGGATCCTTATTCTTCTTCTCAGACTTGGTCTTCTTTAATTCCTCCAGGACAGAGCAAAACGACATAAAACTAGCAATGTAACGCATACAAGATGCCTTTCCCTTGCATCGGTAATTTCCATGTTTGCCAGGACAGCTATAGCGCATGCTGTAACACAAAGGTTTGGGACCATTGACCAATGCTCCCCCACGAGACTCTGTGTAAAGACTTTTGGCTTCAAGCAACAACTGCTCATTGGTCTCATTCCTACAGATATGTTGGAGAAGCTCTGGGTCATTAAAATAAGCAGAGTAGCATTGACTTAGCTCAAGAACCTCCACCTTTGGTTCCTGTTCCTTAAAAAAAGACTTCAGCTCTTCTATGGAGATTTGCCTACCACCTTTTGCGTGAGCTTGAAAGACGATAGTCAGGATTAAATGATCTTCCATTTTGTTCATTTCTTCGAGAATATGCTCCCACTCTTTCTTCTCTTCTTCAGTGGTGGCAGCTTGGATGCAATAATCATCAACAAGCATGTGAATTTTTGAACTCAGGAATTTCCTCTGCACTTCTTTTACCCTGTCGAACTTGATGATGTCCCTAGGGGACAAACTTTTGGGTACCAGCGCAATATCTAGCTCATCCAGTTTATGACCGCCAAGATGTTTGAAGAATTCGTTCTGACTAAGAGTGCTTCCCATGTGGAGCAGGAGGATTCCATAAGGATTATCGCGTCGATGAGCCACCAGGTACTCAATCCTTTTTAGTAACTCAATGCTTTTCCCGGAATTTGGGGGCCCGAAAATGACCTTTAATCTGCTGTTGGTATCATGTTGATTAGCAGGACTTGAGGGAGTTGATTTACTGACTTGAGCTCCATGATAATTATTCTCATCTTGCCAATTCAGAATATCCCATTTTGTTTCATCTAGTTCTTCCATCATCCATTTTCTCTTCATGCCTGTATTCTCCATATCGCTCAACAGCTTTTTCTTGTTTTCAGGGACGCTTATAATCGGTGTTTTTAATATTGCACATAGCTCAGAATATTTCCCTCTTTGAAGAACTTCATGTTCCATGACAATGGTGACATTCTTTTGGGATGAGGACACCATGCGAAGATAATTTCTCCAATTGGACCCAAAAATGTCAAGAATGACGATTTCTTTATTTGAATGCCATCCTAATATCTGGTCAGCAGTCACAACTACAATGGAGTTGGGAGAAATACCACGTAATCTCCCAATTGAGTCCACAAATCCGACCTCTTTCTCATATACATGTTTAAGAGTGTTCACCAGCATATTTCTTCTCTGGATGGTGTCTACTACAGCATATATGGAGTCCAGTGGCTCTTTGGCGTCTTCCTTTCCCTCTATATTTCCTTGAAATATGAAAAGTAAAGCATTGGAGGATCTGATTGCCCAACAGGACGTACTTTGACAGACATCATGGAGAGAGGAGCATGACTCAATAGTGAGTAACCTGGGATTACTGTGAACATTGGTTTTCCGGAATTCCATTCCGCGAAGAGTTGGTTCTTGGCATATAAAAATTCTGCGTGCGTAGTTGCCAAGGGACAGGAATAAGTCGGACACTTGTCTCGTATTTCTTTTCACAATATTCAAGATTTTCATGTCAACGCCTGCGATCTTGATCTTTTTCAGATCAATGTCTGTCGTGTACGTAGCATCATTCGGGCGGAATGCAAGTGTAAGGCTTTTCACTATACCCTTGAAGCGGGAGATCTTCCAGTGCTCTGAGAGTCTCTTCTCATTAAGAGGATCCTCAATTCCCAGAGTAAGAGGGACTTCGTCAAACAGAACATGCTTATCCTTTCCGTTTTTATCAAGGAAATCACATAAACCTTGAAGGTTCTCCCGAATCTTCTCCTTAACTCCATCCATCACCTCGATCTTTCCTGAAATCATATCGAAGTTTTTTTTTAATCTCCTGCAACACTCTCAGCTCATCTTTGAATCGGAAAAATTAAATATATATTTTTTGCAAACACTTACAACTTACAACGAAGCTAACATAGCCTCCCTCTTCTCTCAGCTCCTCTTCATCCTCCTGAGTAACAAAAATGTCGTCTCTCACCCAACTAAAAGACCAGACCATCAAATGTTATGCATATTCACCGCTTCATTCACTTCAACCCTCAGATCATGAGGTATACGAATACAAATGCGTTGCTTACATGACCCCCTGATCAGGTGGTGGGTTGATGACTTCCTGGTCAGGTGTTGGAAGGTTAAAACCGTGATTAGGGATGGTTGCTTCTCGAGCGCGAAAATAGAAGTACACACCCCCAACTCCCGCGATCAACAACAATGCAGCCAAACCGACAGCGAGGCCTAAAATAATTTGACAGACATTTGTAACATCCTATGATTATTAAGAACCATAATGATTTACTATGCTCACAAATCACGACTCCGGACGGGATGTTCTGAGAGGCGGACGAATCTGCTTTAAAAAAAAAATTGTTTCACCAAGTCGAGAATAATTAAATTACTCTTTAATCAAAATGTATTCATATTCCTCGGATATACACAATACGAGTCTTATTGATTCACTCACGAATCATGACACCGGGCACTATAGAGGGCAAATCGGTTTCTGCAAAGAAAAGGCTTTCTTGATTATTTTCACAAAGCAGAGGAGTGTCACAATCACGTTTTCCTCAATTACCTTCACATGTGCCAGTAAAAATGACCGCATGGAATGCCTCTCGGTTTATGCAAGTCACATTCCATGCGGTCACCAGTAGCACCTCAGGGTAGCCACGTGTCAAGCATTCGAAGTCTAATGTTTTCTGGTCCTTTGGAATGGTGATGGTCTTGTTCCTGAGGGGAGGAAAAGGAGGAAGTCCCCCAACCTCACAAATAGAGATGACGTCTCCCGCAAAGAAGAGAATGAGAAGGAGGCAAAACATGTTGCTCATTTACACAGTGATTGAAAAGATCATGTCATCCCGAAAAGCGTTCTTCCTTCAAATACTTCCTAATGATCGTTCCAAAATACTTCAGTACTAAAACTACGTCGTCAATCACTCTTTCCACCTCTTTCCAGGACTTCGAACAAGATATTGTGTGTAAAATGTCTCTTGGTTTCAGGAACCTCGGGATAGTTTATTTTGCGATAAGATTCTGCGATACAGTGAAAGAGGTGTTTTCGAGGTTTCGGTCACCTCTTTCCAGGACTTCGAACAAGATACTGTGTGTAAAATGTCTCTTGGTTTCAGGAACCTCGGGATAGTTTATTTTGCGATAAGATTCTGCGATACAATGAAAGAGGTGTTTTCGAGGTTTCGCCTGGACTGATTCTTCCTGCAAGGGCGAAAGCAACATAAAGTGCTCAGGATGCTTGCAGAGGACGGCAGGGCGATGTAGACACGTGGGTTATGGATGTCCGCTCGATAACCAGCCTTATGGTGATTCATTTTGTCATTTCAGTGAAATGAAATAGACTTTGAAGACAGATGCTTTATTAACAAGATTAAGCATGAATCAAAGTACATAGAGATAAACATAAAAATCGGTCCGATTTGGTGCATGTAGCAGTGGAGGGCGATCGAAGAAACTGGTTTTATTTCTCCCCTCCTTGCTCGACTGCTCCTGAGGAATGGCGGGAATCCTCGCCTTCGTCGACGATCAGCTCAGAAGAAGCGTCTGTAGGAGAGGAAATGAATCAGTAAAGAGTTCATTCGTTACCTGATGAAAAATGAGAGACACGAACTTACCCGATTTGAAGGAACTCGTTGGAGATCGTCTGTTTAGAGCTTCGATCATCTCCTTTCCTTCCTTTTCCATGGTAAGGTCGTCAGGATTGAGTGAATTCTCGTATGGGATATCCATGATGTTACGTCCTCTAATCAATGGGCAGTTGGGGGAAAATCTACGGTGTTCCTCGTAAGGATTGTCTCCGTATTCCCAGTTGTGAATGATCAGACGGCAAAAAATACAATCTGTCTCGTCGCGGATCCCGGTATAATATAGACCCCATCTTGCCATTTCATCAGTAGATACGATGTGTCTCTTCGGGAAGAACTCAAACGAGCAGAGTCGTTTGGCATGACACAGCATCTTCTTCCGGTTTGGGTTGAAATCTTCATTGTCAGATGGATAACCCTTGCCCAGAGCACGAGATGAAAATTCCACGTTCGAAAGACATTTGCCAATCAGCAGGGGGCACAGCCAATTCATTTCCTAATGACATTGGTAGACACTTGGCGAAGTGGAATATGCTTCGTAGCCAGGAGGTAAATGACGATGTCGCGGACGAATGGTTTCACTCGATTCGCTGATGAAGAAAGTCTTCAAACTGCATTTCCCTCGGCAAAATGCACAGCATACGATGAGCTTTGATAACTCTTCCAAGTTGTCGTGTACCTTCGATGCGGCCTTGGGATCGACGTCCAGATAGAATCCCCATCTGACGAGCTCGTCCACATTCACGGAACCAGCTATAGCAGAAACACAGTTGAAAGTCTTTCTGCGTTTGTTCTCAGTGAACAACGCAAGGGCGAAATTATTGTTGGGCTTGGCAAGCGCAGCGTCAGTGCTATCACCTTTCATCTTCTCGACTGAATGAAAGTGACACCAGGACACTCGAATCTTGTACATTTTCTTTCCCAATATACTCGTTGCTCCCTTCCGCAACTCAGGGTTAATGACCGTGAGGGTGGGTTGTGTAAAAATAGAGCGACGGAAAAAGGGGGCCAGCACGATCAATCTGTCATCGGGAGATAACGTGTCCATACACGTTGGCATAATGGAATCCGGCCCTATTGACTTCCCTCATGCAAAACGGTAATGACGCGAGTCAATTAAACTGGGATATTATGACGCAAGATTCTTGACATAATATTTACCAAATCGAAAAATCGCTTCATAAAGCTACATGAATAATGCAAATCATCGTGCAGCCGATAATTTAACGTTAATTCACCGAGTACTCATATAAATCAATGATAACCTGAGGTTAAAACATATTAAATTATGCTTATATAAGAAATAAGATATTGATCCAGGCAGCTCCAGGCAGCTCCAGGCTGCGCCAACCCGTGAAACCTACCCTTTTTATACTACTGTTCAGCACAGAGAGCAACTGGCCAGTCTGAAAATATTCAACTTCATCCACAAACGGAAGTTGGCGAACCATCGGCCGTGCAATCGCCCAAAAGGATTTTTCAGTAAGTGCGGGAACACATCGCTACCTCATCCGTTCTAGAGACCCGACGCTGCAAAACATAAGGACAATTGTATTTGCGCCCGAAAGCTTCGCAGACCGGGACGCCTACAAGACGAATGAGGAATTTGGGGATATAGAAAAATCATGGGGCGAAGGAAACGGCTGGTATTAGAGGAAGTGCCTCTAAAGCAGTGCTTCCCAACCTAGGGTCGCCACCCTATTTGGGATCGCGAACCGGCACCTAAAAACCAAGTTAAGTTTTTCTTTACGATTTTAGTACATAGGTGAGGAGAGTCTGTCGAACTTAGGCCTGTTCTTGGGGTCCTGAATGGTATGATCGTGATTTATGGGGTCGCGCGTGAAAAAGGTTGGGAAGCCCTGCTCTAAAGGAAAGCGATCACGACGATCGCTAGGAATACAGCGCTGAGAAAAGGAAGATAAATTGAAACGCTAGATTGATTTCCGTAGCGGTTGCAGCAACGAGTGCCCTTGACATTGCAGATAAGAAAGGCATAGATGGGAGGAGATGGATGATGCATATATCGTTCGATATTAGAGATTCAATACATTAGGGAAAGTGATTAAGGAATTATATTACATTAGCATTGAGCGCTGCAATTTCCGGCGCAGTTTAGGTCTTTGTGAAGTGGGAGCCTACCGCTCACAAATACAGGGGTCGTTAGGCCCCCTAGGACCCGCTCTTACGGGCATTATTGATTATTCCAGACTCCTAATCGCAATACTCTTCAAAGCACTCTGGTCTTGAAAGGAAAAAGGGGGAGGTCGCGCCTGCATAAATCATTCTCATGGTTGGGGAATGCGAAGTCTCGCTTCGGTGGAGGCCGTTAGAGGGCACTGAATGCCCTGCGATAATATGCGCATAGAGAAGTGCCGCCCCGGCGCCAGGGACTTAATTCACCTTGGCCATTCTGGAATCAGACGAACCAGGAGTCACTCATTACTCCTTTATCTCTTGTGTGAGTGGTGAGGGAAGGAGAATACTGTGACTGTGCCAGTGAAACTTGCAGCCACGAAGGGAACTCGTAAGTCATGAAGTTTAGTGTTATTGAAAGCATAATGTGGTTGGTTATGGTGGGGAAAACCGAAGGAGAAGAAAGTCCAGTTAGCTTTCAGGCAACAAAGCCGAGTTCGGGGATGGCTTTTATCCCAGAGAAGTAGTTAGCTATGATTTCTAGAACGAGGAGAATTGTAACGATAGTTCCAATAAATGAGACCGTGGTACGCGTCAAGCAAATTACGCAAAGTCCTGAAAGATTGAAAAAAAAATCGTTAGATCCCTCAACATCTTTGCACTCCCTTTGTCAATGGAAATTCAGTATGTGAATTTCACGGCCCATCGATTCCAAATGGCTTTGTCTTTAATGTAGCCGCTTTCCCGAGAGAAACGAGGTCTTATGCAGTGGGAGATGTTGCAAAGTTCTTATTTGGAGTGGCGACTGAAGAACAAGTTCAAGACTTAAGGCGAAGAGTAGAACAGTGAAAAGAAAGAATCAGATATTCAAAATCTACAAAATCAGATCCTCAAAATCTTGAATATGTCCCAGACCGCTTCCACAAAGCAAACGAGAGCATCGAAGTATGCCCTTGCCCTTGAAATTCTCCGAGAGCCTGAAGCAGATCTGACCGTCATGGAAACCCAAATCACTGCAATTCAAAATAACTAACTACAAACCCATGTCTCAACGAAAGCGATGCACTACCTTTCAATGATTAGAGAGGCATCAAACATCGCCCACCTGGATGCTGAACGGTACACCCGAATATACGAAATGGGCTAATTGCATAGAGTTTCTGAGTCACTCCTGACCATGTCAGATATGCGCGAGCTTCTAAAGAAAATTGAACCTCAATTACCACCGCCTCAAAGGCTGGCGTTAATTCTTCCACAAGAACTCGATGCCTATCCTCAATCCCTCCCTATAGCACAAATCGCACGCACCGAAGGGGTCCTGAAAGTGATACTTCGAATCCCACTTACCGATCAAACGTCGTTCACAACGTATAAACTGGTCCCCCTTCTCAGGGATATCTGAGGTACCAATGTTGGAACTTAAGGTACTATGGGAGGATGAAAATCGACCCCCCTGGATCGAAATTCTGCTTCATAATTATTGTAAGGGACCTCAAGAAATGGCCTTGGAGCCAATTGCTGACTCTCTCAGGTCACGCCCGGGGCCATGATTTGAGGTCAAAGGTCACGATTTACATGCCTCTCTTTGAAAATCTGTATCTCCTCAACCCTTGGGTGCAGAAACGTCAATCTTGTGCCATTCTCCTTGGAACATACCGCGCTAAATGGAAAAAATAAATGCATTCATGTGACTCTCGTTATCGAGACGCCGTGGCGCCATAACTGCGAATTTTTCCGTTTTCGGATTCTGTTTTTTCGCTCTCATTCCTCGTAGAAATTTTCTATCGGCAAAAGCATGCTACACTTTTTGGAGGCTATCTTGTTCCATCTTTTGGCAGAGTTGCGCATAGTTTCCTCCAACCGTTCCCTCTCAGAGTTCGACGATCCACGCGAAAATGCCACTTTTTTGGAAATCGCTCGAGGTTGACGGACATTGCTCGAAAACGAAGC